ACATTCCTCAGAGAAAGTTCTATTCCACAAATATTCTTTTTTTTTTTTAGTGAATATAGCTTTGTATTTATCAGAAGTGGTGTAAAATACAACATATACTTTAAGTATAGAAATAAATGGAAGAAAGGAACCTCATGAAATGCAGTAAGGCCAAGAGCAATGGCCTGGGTGTGGGCTGGGCTAATTCAGGAACAGGCTGCCCAGAGAACTGGAGAAACTGGAGAAACTCCATTACTCCATAAGTGTTCAAGGCCAGGTTGGATGGGCTTTGAGCCACATAGTCCATGGAAGGTGTCCCTGCTCAGGGCAGGGAGTCAAAAACAGATGACCTTAAAGTTCTCTTCTAACCCAAACCATTCTGTGATTTTATGACAAATATTCCACATGGTACACAGGCTGCATAGACCTCTCCAAATCTAGTTAAGTGCTGCTGAACTGCATTCTAAGTAAATTATTTGTGTGTCTGTAAATCTGTCATATTTGGACTGCTAAAATTTGACAATACATTTCTTTCTCCCCTCACCACCACAAGATGAAATCTGTCATGTCACTGTAATTATAGTAATGCATGTCCTAAATATTTTGTATACCTCACTTTAAAATGTCACTACTATGTTTTCCATTTTCCTCATACTGTGAACAAGTTTCTTATTTGTTCCCTCCCATAAGCTATCTAAAATTGTCAGCTGTTCCTCCCCAAATACCTGGCACTTTGCACTAAATCACTGCAAATAGCTTTATCATTTTAAAACTTACCTTACTCTTTCTTTTGTTTTCCAGTTTATTACTCATTTTTCTTGCTGGAGACATAAAGTGCACTAAGTACACTATGAAAAAAAACAAAACTGTGCTTCCCTTGGAGTTTGTACAATTCTTCAGAAGTGTGGTAAAAAGCAAATCCTCTAGCAAAGTCTGTTCCTCACTCTTCAAGCAGAAACTGAGGAACAAAGGTTTTTTTTCATATGAAAGTTTCCTTCAGGCAATATTTCCAATTTCTCAATTTACATTTAAAAAAAATCTTTACTGAAAAGAAGTGGAAACAGAACTGCATTCAAATGGTATTTTTGATCACAAGGTGATCAAGCAGAGCACAGTAGATCACTGCAGGACCTTGCTCCTGCAACGTCACCTTGCTCCCTAGGCACAAGCGTATCTCGTGTGCTGGCACTGGCTGGGGTAGAGTTCACTTTCTTCACAGTAGCTGGCAGGGAGATGTGTTTGGGATTTGTGCTGAAAAGTGCTGACAACACAGGGACGTTTTCACTGTTGTGGAGCAGGAATTACACTTTTCTGCCTCCCAGCCCGCCAGTTAGGAGGCTGGGAATGCACAAGAAGTTGGGAGGAGCACAGCCAGGAAAGCTGACCTCAAGAGACCACAGGGACATACCCCAGACCATATGGAGTCATGCTCAGTACATAAAGCTGGGAGAAGAAAGGAGGGATGAGGTTCAGAATATGCTGTTTGTCTTCCCATGTCACTGCTCCACATGCTGGAGCCCTGCTTCCCTGGAGATGGCTGAACACCTGCTTTCCCATGGAATGTGGTAAAAGAATTCTTTGGTTTGCTTTGCTTGCATGTGCAGCTTTTGCTTTACCTACTAAACTGCCTACGTCTCAGCTCACAGGTTTTCTCACTTTTACCTTCCTGACTGTCTGCCCCATCCCACCAGGGACAGTGAGCAAGTGTCTGTGTGGTGCTCAGCTGCCAGCTGGGGTCAAACCACAACTTTTGGCCATTTTAAAACCATGCAGATGGTTTTGAAAACCAAACGCACCTAGGTTCAGAGCAGTTACACATTAAATGGTAACTGTTAAAGATCAACCAATGATTCCTTCTCAACTTTGCTCCAAAACCTTGGCTTCTATCAAAGATAGTGGAGGATGTATCAGTAATTTACTGGCCATATATATCACTCAACCAGGAAATTCCATCACTGCCAAGTTTAACAAAGGGAATGCAATTCCATATTAACTATTAACTAAAGTTTCAATTCAGAGAAAGCTATTAATTCCTTGGGACTCAGGCAAGGTTTTCTTACATGACAGAAAACTGAGCAGAAAGGGAACTTGGGTGAGTTGTTTTATGAGCTCCCAAAGGTTTTCCATTTGTTTGTTTCTTTTGTGGGGGAAAAAAAATAGTATTCTAATCTATGTATCAGGCAGGAGGAGTAAAGCATTGTGAATTTTAAAATGTGGGATCTGTGGCTAAGTGCTCTTTAAGCCCATCACCCTTATCCTTAACACCAGACCTAAGAATCCAGAGATTATATTTTTTTGGCTGATGAAAATTTGGTTTGATGAATATTATACAAATCACATATTGAGTATAAATATTCTGCATTCTGGAAATTCAGGCCCTCATTAAACTAAATGTTAACACCAGCATTTTTTTATAAGATGAAGACTTCAACTCTGCCCAGTAGTGTAATAGTTTTATATTGACATAACAGTCATTAAGCCAAACTCTGCCTGCCAGCACAGAAATTTGATACAAGCTGCCTGAACTGCATCTCGTTTTCACACAGTACATACACTGTGCTCATTATATAGATCACAGCACAGATAGATCCCAGCAGCCACATTCAGCCTCTGCAAGCAAGGAGCCATTCAGGTCTCAGTTTCAGTTCAGACGCCCACCTCTCCTCAAGCACACAGGAGTGCAATGCCATGAACCAAGGGACTGCTGGAATGCAGCTCCTGCAGATGTATCAAGCCAGTGAAGGAGCTTGATTAAAGGTGCTGAAAGACAGAACACTGAATCTAGCTGGGGTTCAGCTGCAGCTTTCACTTCTGCTATTTATGAATTACAAATCAAGTCTGGGTGCTCAAGGCAACACAGTGTGTCAAACACCTCAGTCAAGGTGATCTACTTGGAGTAGAATAACACAAACTAGATCCTCCAGGGAAAATCAGTCTGTAGGCATTGCAGCATGCTAGTGATCACAAATAAAATGAGACAACTGAACTGCACTGAAAAGATATAAATATAAGACAAGATTCAGAAATCTAGTGGCAAAATCCTGAACTCCTAACTCCTAACCATCTGACATTATCATGCCAGATCCTGAGAAGTAGAGATGTTAAGAATCTCTCCTCCCCTCCAGAGACACCCTCCATTGATGTGATCCAGCTGTGCAGCCTCCTGAGCTCCAGCAAAGGCACACTGCCTGCACAGGAGCTTCAATACGGGGGGAACTGAAGTAACCAGTGAAGAATAAGCCCTGGTAGCAAGCGGTTCAAGAACAGTCTGGGAGGAACTGTGTCTAGCAAGCCTGTCCCAAAGATAAGTATGTGTTGTGCTCTCTGAACACTACCAAATCCAGAACTGGTTTAAGGGGACATGTGGCTTGAATTCCACAGGTAATTGGCACAGATGATCCCTGCCTTTTACTCCTTGTTGCAAACAATAGTGTCACCTGAATAAGTAATTAGGCTGTGTAGGCAGCCTGCGGGATTGTTGGAGGCAGAGTTACTCCTAACAATACACTGCTCTAAAGAAAGCAAATTTATACTTACTAGAAACAGTCTTGCCCCAAACCAGTATTTTTGCTACACATATTACTTCTACCAACCAGAACATCATGCATCCCAAACCAACGGATACTTATAGCTCAGAACTGTGATTTTCAACCACAGCTTCTCACAATGCCTAACAATGTACAAGAGAATAATGAACTACAGTTTCCAAAGGGAGAGATTATTGTAAATCTCTTTCTCCACAACTGTCACCTCCCTCAAACTCACCCTGCAGCCTGTAGCTCAACTCAGTGAACACACTGGTAAGTCAAGTGCAGTGCCTATGGAAAGAAGTAACCCCACAGATTTCAAGAAAAGCAGTCCATCACCTAATGTTAATTCCAAGGCCCACTTTGTCATTCTGCACATGAGGTCTTTAAAAAGCAAAGGTTGTCTTAGATACCAATTCTCCTGTGTAGAGACCCAATGAAAAATAAAACTTCCCACTGTGGTGCTCACTCAGATTTAGAAAGGTTTGTTGCATACCTTCTTTATGTCCCAAATAACACAATCCTCTTTGCTCAAAGCTATGTCAGTCTTCTTCACCCAATCATTACCTTAAAATATTTTATCTGGAATCCAAGTCTTCCTTCCTCTGGTTTAAAACACAGTTTATAGTATTTAATAAAACGAAACAACTTTGGGTACCTTCTGATATTTATCTTTTATCTTTCAGTTTATTCCATAAAATGCATTATTACATTTGTTATCTCTCTATCCTCTGAGTTTCGCTTAATCCATAAGTGTTGAACCTTTAGAGCGTTTCTCATTTCAAAAACTTGGTATAAAATTATGATGCAAGTACTTGTAAAATGTGCGTTTCTGTGAACTTTACATGCAGCACCACATCACGCATAGTGAGCATCTCCTCAGCAGAGCACCAGCCACGCAGTCACAACCTCAGCAGCACTGACACAGCTCTGGGCAGACCCTGCCCCTTCCCAACTTCACACACAGCCGCTTCAACATCACCCTCTCCCCCCTCTTGCCCAAACCGCTCCATTTCCAGCCATTTCTCTCGGGGTCCCTTTCAATCCCACGCTTTCCCTCCCCAGCCCTGCTCCCCGCCCTATCCACTA